ATTACAAAAATACATACATATATACATGAAAAAAGAAGAACAATAAGGATCAAAGAATTATGCTCATAAGTGATTTCATTTTGATTTCATTTTGATGTTATTTCTAGTTTGATAATTCTCATCCGTTTTTATACCAAAGCAAATCACTTTTCAGTCTTTCCTTAAATTGAGAGAGGTTAAGTTTTTTAAATGACTCATCAATGGAATTCCAGACTTTGACTCCAACAAATTTGATGTTAAATTTTCCAAAGTTAGTTCTTGCTTTTGGAATATAGAGTGATTTGCTAGCAAGCCGTGTGTTGTAATTATGTATAGCATTTACTTGTGTGAAGAATGGATTAAATGATTCCGGTTACCTCTTTGAATGAAAATTGTACATAAACAAAAAACTAGAAAACCTGGAAAACCTAGAAAACTAGGTCAGAAAACTTTAATATTTCAAGCTTTAGAAAAAGAGGACTGGTGTGGGCATCAAAATCAGAAAATGTAAGAAGTCTTATGGCTCTTTTTTGAAGAATGAATAGAGGTTCAAGAGATGAGCAGTAAGTGTAATTACCCCATGCAGTAATGTCATATAGGCTAAGAAGGGGTAGATCAGAGTATAAGACAGAGTAACACATATATCAATATTGACAAAATGGCGGATCTTAGAGATAATGCCTATATTGCGTTAGTTTACCGGATATATGTGAAACCTGAGATTTCCAATTAAGATGACATTCAAAAATGATGCCTATGTAATTGATGTTCAATTCTCTTTTAAGGGGTTTATGGTTTATGGTTAGTGAAACAGAATGATTGAGTTTCTTCTGCGAGGGGTGAAAGATAACAAAATTGGACTTGTCTATATTAAGGGAAAGTTTATTTGCACAAAGCCATTCATGTATAGATTTTAATTGGTCATTTATAAGAGATTCCAGTTGTATGAGGCTCTTATTTGAAAGAAAAAGATTTGAATCATCAGCAAATAAGTGTAGATCAAGTGAGTTGCAACAATGGTTAAAGTCATTAATGTGTAGGAGGAAGAGGATTGGACCTAATACAGAACCATGCGGTACGCCGGTGGAAATGGGAAGCAAGTCAGATTTAATGCTTCCCACAGATACAAATTGAAATCTTTTTTCTAAATACGACCTGAACCATGTGTTTGCTAAACCTCTGATACCAAGTAGATCAAGTTTTTGTAATAACATTGCATGGTCAACAGTATCAAATGCCTTTGATAGGTCTAAAAATATACCACATGCATAAGAGCTTTCATCAATTGCTGATTGCATCTTGTCAGTTATAGAGAGAATGGCGTGCAAAGTGGAATGGTTAACGGTGGTGGACGGTTGAATATCGAAAGCAAGGAAATTGGACGATAGTTATTTACATCAAGTTGGGAGCCTTTTATGTGTACTGGTATAACTTTAGCTATTTTAAAATTACTAGGTACACAACCAGATGCAAGGGATAGATTAAAAATATTTTCTAAAGGTGTAGATAATTGATGCTTGAGAAGTTTTAAAATCTTGGTTGGAATAYTGTAAGGGCCAGTTGACTTTGAACTATTAATTTTGTCAATTTTCTCTTCAATTTCACCTGAACATGTAGGATAATGGTGAAAAGAACTATTTATATTGCAGTTAGTAAGAAAGGATAAAGCAGATTTAGCAACAGGAGGTATATATGGAAGAGGATAACTTGAGACCAATTTTGGTAAAGAAGAAATTAAAGGTATCATCAATTTGCTTACTATCAGTTATTTCATTATCATCAATTAAAAGTCTTGAAGGATATCCTCTATTCCCAGATTTCATGCTGACAATTCTTTTATGCCCTTGCCCAAATGTTTTTAATATGAGACTTATTGGATTCAAAATAGGTATTATAATAATTAGTTTTACTGATTTTAATAAGATGATTCAATCTGTTACGGTATAGTTTGTATTTCTTGAAATACTATGGAATTTTAGTTAAAATATATTTCTTATAAAACTTGTTTTTAGCTGAAATAGAACGTTCAATGGCCGAAGTAATCCACGGTTTACTTTTAAACTTAATTTCTTTTCTATTTAACTTTTGTAGTGGAATATGTTTATCAATTACGTTAGTTAATTTAGAGTAGAAGGTATTAAATTGCAGGTCACTATTAGATATTGAAGAAGTGAAAGTCCAATCAGTTTCTTGAATTTTTTGGATAAGATTTAATTCATTAAATTTTGAATAATCACGCTTAAAAATTTCCTTTTTTTTTTTTTGGAATGGCAGGAAGTTTATTAATAATAAGAAAATTAGCAAGATGGTCAGAGATATCATATACTATATTCCCACTAACAGTGTGGTGTGATTTGTAATACGGGTGGGTTGCAGTATGTGAGGAGTAAAGACATAAGATCTTAAGACATTTAGAAATTCATTAGTAGAAAAATGTGAATCAGCGTTTAGAAGGTCAAGATTAAAATCACCCATAAACGATGCAGTATTTGTGCTCATTACTAATTCTTTCTAGAGACTGATTTAAATGGTTTATGAATGTGTCAACATTGGAACTGGGATGCCTATAGATGACTCCACAGATTATATTATCATTTAAATTACTCTCAATTTCAATCCATAAGGATTCAAAGTCAGCTGAAGAAGTTGAAAGATCTGGTCTAGTAGAACAACAAATATCATCTTTGATGAAAAAACCAGTACCACCAGCATTTGACAGGCTGGGTTGAGAAAAGAAAAAAAACCCATGTACGCCTTAGAATACTCTTTAAATATCCAATAATCACTGTATGAAGTTTTTTCTCGATATTCAGGACGAAAGTATGATATTTTTACGATTATTTTTTGGAGTCTGTGACGTCATACACTCAACATCAAGCATTGCTACATATATTTCTTTGTATATAAATCCTTAATTTATTTTATTCCTATGAAGCCCAAAGGGTGGCTAATGTGCTTAATTCACATTACTTGTTACTTTATATTTTGGGGTGTTTGCGTATTTCTTTCTCCCTTTACTACTGATATTTTGGTCATAAACTACAAAGAAATGTATGAAGCGATGTTCGATGTTCAGTGTAGCACTTTAATCAAGGCTAACAGGGCATCAATTGAAATATTAGTCATCGTAATTTGATGAGAACATAAAGAAAAACAAAAGGAAAGCAAAACTATTATTTAACAATGAAGGTACACCTACATTTGTCTGCCGTCTTTACTAGTACAGGACAAGCTCGTTCGATGTTGTTCGAGCCATAGAAAAAGGCAACAACTTCTATCGAATACCATGCGTTGAAAGAAAGATAGTCAATCACAGCTGATGTCAAGTTGGTTATCAGGGTAAAATTATTGACGCCTTTTGCAGTGGAGTTGTAAAACACCAAATACGTAGGGTCACCAGAAACGTTGGTGTGTGGATAGGTTGTCAGAGATGTCCAAGAAATGTTGATTCTACCAGATTCAACGTCTGTGACCGTCAAGTTGAATTTTTCCGAACACGGACCTGAAGAAATATATTTATTTTTAATTATTCGTCATAACTATCTCAAACATATCATTTTAGGGAGCAAGTTTTCTATTTCTAGAAAAATCATCCTCAACCACACTTTCCCTTTCTCTCAATGTCACGAACCGCAGGGAAGAAGACTTTTTTATCTCAGTTGAATATCACTGATACTATATCTAACAAAAATCTAAACTTCCAATAAAATTACTAGAGCTCTACAAAGAAAATAAAAGCAGTTTTATCATTTATCTACTTACTTCCTTCATCCGATCCACTGAAGACAAAATATCGCATAAGAATGCCATTCACACTACGGCCAATTCTCGATTTATGAGAAGAATAGAAACTGATCATCAATGGAGGGTTGGTTATCAAAAACCCAACTGGATGGTGCCTTTGGTTTTGCACACTAAGAAAACTAGTGTTCCTTGAATCTACAACGGTTATCTTGCTCATTCTGTGGAACAGTTTTTTGCAAAAACACAGAAGAGTCAGACGAGATTTAATGTGGTTAAATGAAATTTAGGCAAAGTTAGCCTCGATCTGTGTAAAAGTCTACGATAACCGCTGTTTCAAATTGTTGACTGCCCGCTAGCCGCCTATTTACGTTAAACACACGCTATTACAATCACACGCTATCTTTGGTCATCAGCAGCGCCAAACTATTTGATCAATAACTACCGCGATATCGATCAACGTTATTTATTGCTAATGTGTCAACTCGATCGCACGCTATCCATGTGATCAGGCTAGCTTGACCTAAGATTCTTCCAGAATCGTTTGCATTACGATATTCGCTATCGCTAGCCTCTGGCGACCACACGCTAAACGCTATTTAGTTTTTTCCCGCCCTCCCTCCCTATGGTAGGTAATTATAGGTAAGTATTCCACTGACCAGTGCGTTAGTGTGACAGGTTCAAAGTGAGTTGTGACAGAGTTGCCATGATTACCGCGATTTTATGTGCCAGGTCTCTCTCAAACCACCGAACAGGCACCTAACCCCAAGCTCATCTAATAGTGATGAGTTCAATTGGCGGAAAGCTTTTCATATTTATCCGATTTTGTATTGTAATAATTTGCTTCTCAGGTGTTCAAGCAGAAACACTCATACCTACCCGCCATAATATCGTCTTAAATCAATGTTGTCAAAGTACACAGCCACTTGTTCATCGGCGATGGAAGATGAAAACGTCCACTGGTAGTGCGACTGTCTCATGTACTGTGGGTAACCTGGACTTTGGATCACTCCTGACAGGTCATTT